TGATGAGTCCTATTCATATTACTCAATGAATTTTGTCTTCTAGGTGGAACCTGAATAACATGGTAGGCAATTAAAAAAAAAACTCTAAAACTATTTTTAAAAGAACTAGATTTACTTTAAAGTTTGTAACATTTCTGCTCATCAAACATAGCACAAGAAGAGTACATACATACAAAATTATCAAAACAAACAAAACTACAATTTTTCTCAGAGCAATACAGTTCTTTCCATTCATCTAGCCTCATCTACTGGTTTGACCTGATTGAGACTTAGAAAGTTAGACAACAAGGGTATCTCCTCTTGAATTTCTGTTGTGTCCATCCATCAGCTGTAGAGTGTCCTTAAGAATGTTTATTTTTCCTTCCTCTATTTCCAGGGTTTTCTGGGATTTCTCACTACAGAAATCTCTGAGAAATACACTTAGAGGTATATTTTAACGAATACTATGTTTAAAATAGAGAATCTTTGCAATAAATATATAGAAAGAAGAATGGAATTAAGTAAGGCTGGCCAGAAGGAGAATGTGAACTGCAAGTCAGGTCTGATGAAAACCTTGTCCAACATCAGAGGAAACTCGGAAACTAAAATTACCCAACCAAAGACTTCTGCATTAGGTTGAATGCGTGAGGCTTCTGCAGCCTTTCTAAACCATTTGCTGCTGGACGGGTGCTGGCTTTGGAGAAGGCACATTTCTCCAGGTGAAGCTATCACTGAAGTCATTAACAGTACAGTGGAAGAAGCACTCCCAGCTCCAAGGGCTACAATTCCTCCCTTGAGGCAGGACCTGGGTAGTGCATGTCCAGGCTCATCACGACCCAGGCAGAGTACTTTCTGTTTCAGGAAAGTGTTCACTAGGAAAACTAAACAAGGTTCCTTAAAACCGCCTCCCAAATTGGAATGTGCGGACAAACCCTAGACGAATCTGCTTAGTCCTGACACTGTAGACTACAGGGTTAAGCACCGGGGGCAGAAGCAGGTAGATGTCAGCCATGAGGACATGGACGGTTGGAGGCAAATGTTTCCCAAAGCGATGGACCATGGACACCCCAATCACTGGGACAAAGAAGATGAGCACCACACAGAGATGGGATACACACGTGTTGAGAGCTTTCAGCCGCTCTTCCCGCGAGGCGATACCAAGCACGGCATTGAGAATCAGCACATAGGAAAGAAGTATGAGGACCGAGTCCACACCTAGAGTGACAATAACTACACACAGGCCATAAATGCTGTTGATCTTGGCATT